CTTATCAGTGAACTCACTGCCAGTCATGAGTTATTTCCTTATTGAGGAACGGACACTTTTGCAGCAGTAAAATGGACACAGCCCAATTCACATTTTTATTGCTGTTGGCTTCAAACCTGTAATGATCCCTGGCAGCAGTGTGAGTGAAATGATTAGGTTGTAATATGTACTTAAAGCAACTTAAAAGTGCCAACTAAAGAAAGAAGAAGAAAAAAAGACGATAATGTTTCGATTTGCCTGGCTCTGATTGGTTGTCGCACGCGGATTCGTTTCATGCATTCTTTCACAGTGAGGGATCCAGAAACCCCATCAGGACATGAACCCGGTCTGTGCTCCATCAAAAGTCCTTAAACAAATAGAATAAAGATGGAAGTGTGCTCACTGAGATGATCTAAACCATGCATTCCTACTAAACTTTTCAAGATGGCAGCCTGTGCCTTTGTGCAGCTTAACATCCAACAACACATTAACCTGCAACTGGGACCATTACACCCCTGTTTTCCTCCAGTTTGCTGAATAAACCCTCCTCTGCTGTGTGATTTAGTGGAGCGAACCCACCTAGGCAGTCTATCCTAACACCATTTATCAAGCTCCTATGCACTAGCAAGGCAGCTATAAGTGCTCTCTCAGGCTTTTTCTATAGGAGGCGAGAGAGCTGGGAGAGGACACGATGATCAGCTGCAAATAGACACAATCACACACATAAACATGTGAATTTATGCATAAAAAACCCAGTTTATTTCTACTTGCAAGGCAGAAATCACATGTAAAGATGCACAACACAAACTTCCACAGCACGGTGAGTTAACGGCTGTTAGGGGGCTGCAGCTTGGGCATTGGGGCACCTTAGAGGAACAGGGGGGTGTAGACAGAAAGCGACTTGCCCTTGCAGCCAGAGCAGCCATGTTTCCACTTTGTGCTCCATCAGGGGTCGTTTGTAGTGAACACTGGGCATAGCAGGGAGACGAGAGCCAGGTCTGTGGTTGCTGGAACTCTCTGCAGACAGATATCTGGAGGATTCAGGCTGTCATTGATCGAGAGCTACACTTTGAACTAATATCAAACATGCATTAATATGTTTTTTTAATCAGTTATGCAAGCCTCTCAAGGTGGAGACTACTCGAAAACCAATGAAAAAGGTGGCCCCAATATTCATTTATTATAAAACTGCAAATATAAGAGTTTCTTAACCTTAAAATGACCTGCCAAGTTTGGGTTCAGCTCACATTCACAGTCTGGGTCTCACAAAATCTGTTCTTCCTGAAAAGCTGCCGCGTTGTTATTGTTAATATTTAAAAACCAAGGTTCGGACACATGAGAGCGAAAACCTCTATCAGAGCTGAGCAAGGACATCAGCCCTTAAAACAAGTTTCAGCACGAATGGAGCAGAGTGGACTACAAACTAACTCACCGACTCCTGCTGTTTGTAATTCTTGACATGTACTGTCTGCACATATCAGCTGCTCACTGGCGGGTACAGATGAACTGAACAAAGTTTAATCTTTACACTTTTTTGTCAATCCCAGGGGCTTCATCTTGTGTATATTTAACACCTCCTTTCATAACTGAGCTCTTGGGATCATATAAGTCTTTTTTATTTCAAGATTTTGATAGATTTGGGGGACAAACTGAGCAGACAGGTGATTAAAGAATCTCTGCAAACATGTTTTTAAAGTTAAAATTCAGTAAATATCAGTGAACAGGACTTTTGTTAAGCTGCAGTATGAGTCAGTATTTATAAATACAGCTTGTGTGAGGTGTGAGGAGCTGTAATTAGATTACTTCTGTGATTAGTAATAATTTATTCAGTGAGTCATACATAATGACTCATTGATTGGCAGCGACATGTATTAAGTAACTTGTCTAACACTGCTGAAATGTGTTTATCGCAGTGTCTGAGCAACTTAAGGGAGTCACAAACCAGCGTGCAGTCCGCCTGAGCTGAAAACATGAAAGCTAAAATTGGGTCTATGTTTTTGCGAGGCTGAAAAACAGTTTTTTTTTTAAGTCCTGAGCTGACAAGATGATTAATATGTGATCATGAGGAAAGTGCTTTTTATCCGGAGATAACAAGATAATTTAGTTGTGATTGTGAGATAACAAGGTTTGGAAAATGTATTTGACCGTGAAAGCTCTGGAAGCCTTTTTTTTGTTCTTGATTTAGTTTTTAGGATTTATCTGTTTTTTAAAACGGCCGCTGGACTTCACCCCGTGTGCGTATAACCTTCACTGTCTGTGAGCGTTAACATTTATTCACGACACACTGACTGAATGTACAAGTGGTTGTTTAAAAAGCCGAAACACTACAGCAGGAGTGTGTGTGAGAATACCGCCCGCAGCACTCAGGTTAAGTATTCTTCTGTAGTGTTTTGGTCTCTGAGGAGGTCAGACAGAATATTTTCTGTTTATTGTTTTGTTCTTTTCAGCCGTGCATTTTAACAAGGCAGGTCAGCTCTCCTGCTATGTCAGTTATTATCATCGGCGGGAGTGTGAGTCTGGATCAAGAGCGGCTCTGTTGTTGTTGTTGTTGAGGAAAAAAGTAAAACTATTATTTCAGGTTTTCCAGCGATATGTTGAACCAGACGTGAAGAATCACACAAATGAACAAGATCGGTTTGTGCTCCTGTGTTCAGTGTCTTACTCACTGTGTTGATTTCCTGAATGTTTTCTTTAGTGATGCACGATATGAAAAATTTCAACCGATACCGATAACCGATAATTTTCTTCTTCTCATGGCCGATACCGATACCGATAACCGATAAATTCATATTTTTACATTTATTATAATCTTCATATAATCTGCAGTTTGAGCAGGATGCAGCGATTGAAAACTGATATTTTTGTTGCTCTGGCCTATCTAGAACAACAAACAAAAGTTTTTGGCTCTTCAAATGTGGTCATTTGCTATAAATAACAATAACAGAGCAAAAAGCAGAACTTCATTTGATCCCCTGAACTGTTCAACAGAACTGTAAACTGTAAAGGAGCTATTATGAGCCGTTAGGCTTAGCATGCTGACCGGACTAACATCTGACGTCCATATGTCTGTGGTAAAACTCACGTGTAGTCCGTTCTTGTTGATCAGGTTGTGAATGTATGTGGCGACAATATCATAGAGTGCAGGAAGAGACACATCCGAGAAGAAGCGGCGGCTTGGGAGAGTGTAACGTGGCTCCAAGTGTGCTATGAACTTACGAAAACCCGGGTTCTCAACGACGGAAAAAGGCTGGTCGTCGACCGCTATGAACTCCATCACTTTGTCGTTAATGGCTTTAGCCTTTTCGCTGTCTCTTGAGAAGCTTTTGCAGTTCTTAAACGCCTGCTGAATGGGGACATCGATCCTCCGTAGTGTTGTTGTCTTAGCTTTAGTACCGCTAGCAGCTTCGGCGGCTGTCTCATAGTCCTTTAATACTGCTCCGCCGCGATGGCGACTTTTCAGATGAGCTATCAGATTCGTTGTGTTAAAACTTGACGTCTTCATTCCTCCTCTTGGAATCCTCGCTGAACAGGTTTTGCATATAGCAATGCTGTTGTCATCTTCTGCCACTGAGAGAAACGACCATGCTGGTGAAGACATTTTATTATCTGTCAGGCAGTGACGGGGTCAGGCTTGGGACCTGCGAGTAAGGCTTGATAGACGACGTGACCAGCGCGTCTCGGACGGGCGGCTACTCCGCCTGCAAACGTTACTCGTAATTTCATTAATATATCGGATCTTTCTATCGGAAAAATGCACCTATCGGACCGATAAAAAATGACGTAATTTCCCCCCATATCGGCCGATATTTTATCGGTCCGATAAATATCGTGCATCCCTAGTTTTCTTACCTCTAGACTAGTTCAGTCAGATGAACGTAGACGCTGCTGTGGGGTTTGTTAGCAAATCAAGAGTTACCTGACGTATGTGTCCATGTGCGTCTGAGGGTTAACCACAGAGGGCACAGTACTAAAGCAGGCTAAAGCAAAGCAACAGTATTTATTTACAGTGTAAGAAAGGCTTCTGTGTTGTAGATATTTCTATTTCTCACTGTTTACTTTAATTGTTTTAATTGTCTTGATCTCATTAGAAATAAAAAAGTTCTTCTCTGCTTTAAACAACCTGCGGTCTGACCTTATCTGACATATATGTGGAGATCTTTTCCACGACGGCATCTCCAGCGTCACGTAACAATAAGGCAGAGACACTCTTGTACCTTTCGAAGTGCATCCCGGTAAAATGCTTTACAAATAACAACTCGAGAGAAATTCAATAAGATGTCAAGTACAGCTGAAGGAGAATAAAACTAAAGGCAGAGAAGCAACGGAGAAAATGTAATAAAAGAAAAATGTTACGGCGACGGTATCCAAACACATCATCGAGCATTAAAGGGAGACAAACTACTGCAGAAAGCCACAGCGCTTCAGGGAAGAGGGGCAATTGTCTGTTGGTGTCTGCAGAAAGTAGCTGAACTGCTGTTTATGTAAAGCTTTTAGTGCAAACACAACATCTTTACCACAATGCAAACATGCCAACGAGTCCATTAGGCGCTCTGCTCCAGCCTCCTGAAGGACATTATACGTGCTTTTATTTGTATGTTGCAACCCCCTGTTTTGTCAGCTTTAGCGCTTACAGCAGAACTTCACTTTTTTAGACGTGGTGGTGCTGTCGGTGTATCTGCTTTGGGTTGTTGCCATGGCGCCTCTGCTTTAGTTTTAGCCCCTGAATGTACTTGCATTATTAATTAAGGATGAATTTCACACATTCGATTCCTTCTAGTCCTTTGTAATGATTCTGTTGTTTAAATTACAAACTGGTATACGCCTGGTGATCTTGGAAAATAGATTTATAGATGCATCTTTTCATTGAACTTATAGAAACTTAGAAGATAATAGTAATTTTCCTCTTATCTGCATCTGTCCACTAGTGCCGTTTTTTTCCGGTTAAGAAAGCATACAGAAGGATTGGTTTGAAGCGTTTTCTTGCAGCATTTTCAGAAGAAGAGGAGAAGAAGAGCTGTGATTCAGCCTTCCAGAAATAAGAGATGTGCTGAATTCCTCACTGTCGCTTTGGCTCTCAAAGTGCTCTGATTCATCATCTCAATCATCATAATTATCGCTATCATCACCGCTCTGCTCTGACTGAGCTGAGGAACATTCCTCTTGCCTCCCTCTCTCGTTGGTGTCCTCAGAGTGCCAGGACTCTGTAGGTTCAGCTTCTCCGACTGAAAACTGGGCGCAGGACTCTGCATGAGCTGCTGTTTAGTGCGCAGCTGAACAAAAGGCTGTGGTACGACAGAGGGACGCAGGATTAGAGGCTCTCCTTTTCTTCCTTTTAGCAGAAGGGACTCTGGTGGCCTCGGATGAACTCTGACTGCTTGATGCTTATTAGCAAAAATCACAGTCATGATCTTTTCGATTTTTGGTGCTTAAAAAATTCTGATTTCACTGAAAAACAAAAACTATCTGTAAAAGGTCGCCGAAATGAACACATGTAATACAGTTTTAATCACTAAAGCCTTCCTGTTTCTTACTCCCTTTAAGAACCAACTGGATCAATGTTAAACTACGACTTAATTCTGACGATAAGAGACTTTTGCTTGTAGTAGATTATTTTAATGCTGTGTTATTAGAAAGTAAAGGATACGACCACACTTTGTGAGTCGTGTGACGAGTAACTCAGCTTACGAGAAAGAGATAATACATGTTACCGACTTCATGAGACTGAGATGAGACACGGTTTTAACTGTGTTAATGAATGCAAAAAACTACAATGATTACGTTTTTGACTGGAATATAAGTTTGACATTTGAGTTAAAGTCGGAAATGTACGTTTTTCCTCTTATACTAATCCCAGATGTAAAATAAAGTCAATTTTGTAATCTTTTTATTACCCATCATACCTGTGCACATCAGTGTACTATTTTGTAATCTGGACTGATTTATGGTGCGTTCCATTTACCTCAGAAGTCGGAGCTGGGAATGATGTCACACCAGATATCAGCATTTAAGTTACAAAGTCGGAAAAAGTAGCTAACGGCCAAAAACGGAAGCAAAAACAAGATGGCTACATCTACGAAAGTTATCCTTGTGCTTACCTTTTCGGAATATAAACAACTCCTGGACAAATAAGCGGTCCTTCTGCAACCTGCAAACACGATGAATGAAGAGGGCGCAGAGGGTAGCCTATTTTTTCTCATTACTGGAGCTTCTACTTATTGTTACAACAGGCGCCGCCATCTTTAAATGTCAACTTTGGGGTTGTCTGACTTCCCAGAGTCAGAAATCTGACCTCAGGGGTCGTTCCAGTTGATTTCCAGTTGGAAATCTCGACTTCTGAGTACAACTAGAATGCACGGTTTGATACAGCCTCATCATCACATTGTTGGAGTCCCTTTTTCTAGTCATAAACATCAAACCCTCTAAGTGCTGCCCTCAGACTGTGGTGTCATTGGTCTCATTGGCTCACTCTGTCCCTCTGCTTGACTTAAACACACCTGCTCCACTGTTTCCACTTGTTGAAGCATCCTTAACTTCCTTGCACTCCTGAGCTCCTGATGATCATATGTGAAAGTCTACAGGCTCCTTACTGTTCAAACCCAGCAGTGTTGATTAGTCGCCTGGCTTTAAGATGAACTGTGGTTATGTATACTGATTGCAATCTGCATACTGAGTGTTTTTCACTGTATTCAGACTTCATCTATTTGTAGCACTGTTTCCTTTTGAGGCTATCATGCTGAAAAAGTAAATGAATTGATGATCATTTACAGAGTCCAGGAGTTCAAATGAAGTTTCTGCAGAAGAAGAAAAAAATAACTCTCCTCTCCTCATAACCTCCTCAGTTTCTCCTCTCTGTGTCTGACAAGTGGCGTTTCAAAGTCGCCCATTTCCCTCTGCAGTCTCAGCCTGTCTGAATGAGGAGCTGCAGATACACAGCAGTGTATGAATAAAAGAGTGGAAGATAAGGGAGAGGTCTTTCTCAGACCCTCTGAGGGCTTATCTGCAAACTACAAAACTCCAGCTGACTCCGGCTCAGTTTTGCTGCCTCGAAAACTCTCCATTCGCCTGATATTCTTAGAGCTGGGATGAAAGCTTTGTGTCCATTAAACCTAATGTGGTACTCTAGATCATTCAGCATGCCATAGTCTTATCTTATGGCTTCTGGATTGGACTTCATCGCTGTAAATGTCTTTGCTGCCCTGTAAATACACAAGTTAAGGAGAAGATATGCCACAAAGGAGACATGATGAGATGTTTTTGTGTGCCTGGTTGTGGGAGGATGTCATTCCCTCGTAATTATTTAGGACTACAATTAAAAAACACCTACACACTCCATCCTGTGAGACATGAGGACACACATTGCCACTTAAAAAGGATAAAGCAGGCATGTTTACGACTCTTATCTTCATGTATGTGCATGTAGCAAACCCATCTAATAGTGCATACTCCATGCATTTGCACGCTGACAACCACCCAGTCAGCTTCTCCATCATGATGAATATTCCCGCCACTAAACGCTGCTTTTATGGTCCTCATTCCCGTGTGTGTTTTACAGGAAACACGGGATTCATCACGTGTGCACTCAGCCTTCTAAAGTGGAGCCATTTGATTTGGAGATGCAATAAACTATGCAACCACACATAGCTAATAATGTAGAGGGGTATACAGCAGATAGGCAGTATTTTCCTGCTCAACTCCCCCACAGTTTAGCATCATAACCAGAGCAAACACCAGTCTGCTGCGTTCTGCTGAAGTCGTCATTCATTTTTGTTTGCACAGCTCGCTGCAGGAGCTCCTCATTAGGATTTGCTCTTGATAATTCCTCTTGCTTCTCCTTTTAGCAGATGCACGCTCTGAGAGCAGGACCAGTGTAGGTACCAGATGTGTTCGGGCTCCCAGATTGGCTCGGGGCCCGGCGCCTAATTATGATGTCACGCTATGTTGCTGCGTTCCAGTTACCTCGGAAGTCTGATGTTGGAACTGGGAATAACGCTACACCCGAGGTGGCGACGTTCCAGTAAACAAGTCGGAAAACCAAGATGGACGCCTACTTTTAGCCATTGTTAGCTGTTGTTTACAATTCTCAGCGGTAGTTGGCCATTGTCAGTTGTTGTTCGCGGTTGTCAGCTATTGTTTGTTGTTGTTAGCTGTACCAGTTGTAAACAACTCATAGTACAACTGAAATGCAGCATATGATTGGCTAGAAGTTGGCTCAGATGACGTAGAAGATTGTGGTTGGTCCAGACATAATGGAAGCGTTTTTTGTCGGATAAGGTTTCATGCGATTGTAGTTTATCGGAGAAAACATGGACGGATTATACAAAGCAATCTATCACTACTTATCAAAGGGGACTTACAACAGTCGGACTACTGCCTCTTTTAGGTCACCAAAGGAAATGTGGGATAAAAGCAAAACTAACTATTTATAAACGGAGATCCTGCATACATTTTTTTTTCCTTTCCTTTAGAATTGTTAACACGCACAATTAAAGCCATCTTAAAATGACAGTACAGTAAGTTGTAATTCTCTGTATTATATGAAGAAAAAAATTTCAAGGTCAATGGAATGAACAAATGGAAATAAAGAAAACCCTTTTAACCAAGGACATTTGACGTATTAAATGGAGCATAAAGTAGTTTGTCTGAGTGGACTTGCTGTAGTGTGATGTCTTCAACAGGCACTGGGCCCCGAGCTGATCTGGCAGCCCAAACACATCTGGTGCCTACACCGGGTGTCACTATGGTTTTTAGTGGAGATCACCTTGACCATGACACTACACAAACCCCACCTGACTGTCCAATGAGGGACCTTTGAAATGTTAGAGTATTTTACACCAATTTCCAGTGAGTGGTGAGAGATGAATGCCCTCATACTAAGCGTTTAAGGTGATATTCACTTTTCACTGTGAATTAAGAGCTGGTTGGTCAGCAGGCCGAGCTGTGTTTAATACCTCTTGAGCTGACGTTTTATACAGCTCATACACAATGGGCCCAGTGTGGCTGTAAAACGCCCACAGTGAGCTATTTTTCAGCACCAGTGGTGTTCAGCACTGTGTACATTTGGGCGCTGAGAGATTAAAATAAGGAGTACTCCGGTCTGTGGTCGTTCCTGCTGCAGTTGTATATATTATGCTCTGTTCCTGTTGTGGCAGAAAAAAAAGCCCATAGAGGAATGTAACTCAACCGCTGCAGCAAACTGCAGCATGTTGGAAAGCATTCAAGAAAAACTCCTCCAGGATCATTTCACAGAGTATTTTATTTAATGTTAAACTCTTCGAGATGCTGTAGTGACTATTTAGATGTGTTTAAATGAATTCAGAGTTTAACAGGGAGCAGTGATACCTCAGGGTAATGGTCTATCCAGTCTCAGGAGAAAAATGAGCTTTTGCTCATTCAGTCAAAGGAGATAAAGACGGAGATGAGGAGAGGAGGCGGATACATAAACTAACAGTATCACATGTTCGAGCCACGGTAACGATTTGACTCTAGGGATATTAATGTTGGTTTGTGATATTTATATAATCCCTTTGAGACATTCATGGTCCCCAAAGGAGCACATGACGCTTTAATGTCCCACTGAGTATTTCTGTGGGGCTGCCAGACGTTGATGAATCACCCACATGCTCTGAGAATGAAGGTTCAGATCACCAGGGATGCACCGGTTCAAGTGGTAAATACCTGCTGACAATATCTGGGCTTCGCAGAAATCAAATACAGACACATATGTTGAAATAATAATGTGTGTTTGTCTCCATAGGGATGAAACTTTTCCAACTTATCACACATTAATAAACTGACAATAATAAATAAGTAATGGATGCAAGCTGACACATAATGTGAAGCAGCCAAAGATAATGCGTTCTCTCTTGGTATGTTTAAAAGAAAAAGAAGAAAAAAAAGGACTTTATCCAGAACTATGCACCACCATTCAAACATCTCCCTGATATCAGTTGAAATCAAATCAGTTATGTGATCTGTGGAGGTCTGTAGCTCATTGCCCTTCACCGTGTCCAAACTGTCCACTGTGCAGCAAAAACAGACAAAAACCAGAGCTTCAGATTTCTCTGCTGCTGTTACATCCTTTAACTCTCTCATGCAGAATCACTTTTTTTAAAACATCTTCCAGAATAAACACTGGGAGGTTTCCAGCATTTTTGCAGCACACACCCCACAGAGCTGTTTAGTTAGAAATCCTAATTATCACTATTTAGTCTGCAATCATTAGCTTATTAATGCCTGTCGTCTTGCTCCCTCTGTCCCTCTGCTTTACTTCCACACATACCTGCTCTGGCCTGGCATTGAAGACGCTGTCAGACTCTAAGGGTCAATCAAGGGTGGCACAGAAATTAAGCCTCATAGTTGATTTTGCATTAATTTCACAAGTAGCTGCATGACAGTCTACATTTCT